CACCATGGATTTTCAGTGCTCTCCATGCTACCTAAAGACTCTGAGTTGGAGAGCCTGCTCCAGATACCAACAAGCCCATTAAAGAAATTCATCCTTTCAATTCTACTTCTCTAGAACCACTCCTGGCACCACAATCTGTATTAGTCAGGGTTATCTAAAGAAACAAAACTGGTAGAATGGATATATATATTTAGAGATTTATCAGATTAGCTCATAGGATAAAGTCCTCCCATAGGACTCAACAATCAAGAAGATGCCCCACAGACATGGCCACAGGCCAGTCCAATGGAGGCAATTCCCCAACTGAGGCTCCCTTATCCCAGGTGTGTCTAGTTGACACTAAAGCTATCCAGCACAACCATTATCTGTGCCCCACAGAAAACATAAAGCAGCAAATTGAACTTCTAGAGATAAAAAAGGACACTAAACATTCAATATTATACATATACAGTTATATATGTATATATAAATGTATACTTGTATATAGTTATACAGTCAATATTGTATAATTGTATTAATTCAACTGTGAACCTAAAAGTTTATAGCTACTTTTGAAAGAGATATATCTTTGCTCTGGAAATTGTTATTGAATATGTTAAAGTTGTAATGAAATGCTTCTTCTAATCATGTGGTTATTAAATAATTTAAAAAAGGACATTAGACAAGGAATTTGAGATGTTGGGGAATGAAAAGTGAATATATTAAAAATATATTGTATCCATGTATGAAATTCTCAAAGAATTAATAAAATTTTTACATAAAAAATAAAAAATAAATGAAAAAAGGGGGAAAGGGAGAGATGAAAGTCAGGCAAGATATAGCTTTTAAGGATATGCCCCAGTGACTAATTTCCTTCACCTTCTACTTTCTAGTACCTCTCAAAACAGTGCCACCATCTGGGACCAAACTTTGAACACATGAGCCTGTAGGACAGTTCATATTCAAAACAATGTTAGCAAAAATCTTAAGAGAAAATTTACACACAACAGTCACATAAGAGCATTTCTAGTGCACTGCTGGTAGTAACAAAAAATTGGAATAGGCTCGATATATGCATGACACTATTCCTGAGGAGATGTGAACAAACCTCTATTCACCCCAGATAGGGAACTGATGACAGAACAAAGCAAGGATACCACCAAAGTCCAACTTGGTGAACCTGTAAATTTTATTGTTGATACTTATCGAAGTATACATGAGGGGTTACCAGAGCAAAAATGACCCAAAGATGGTTGCATCACCAAAGCGCATCCCAGCATGGGTGATAGTTCATAGAAGCTGGAACATACTGCACAACATGCAGGCAAGTTGGAATGTTCCTTCCAGGCAGCTCAGCTGATCTGAGTGTCTCTCACCAGGCTGTATGGGACCTAGTGAATCTGATCAGTTTCAAAGACTTTCTTAAACTTAACTAACTTCCCTGCAGGATGGAATATTTCACCTCCCCTTAGATCACCCTGTGCCTTAACAAGCTTTCCTCCAAGATGGAAATCGCTGCACAACACTGGGCATGGTACATGCCTGCAATCCCAGCACTTGGGAGGCTAAGGTAGGAGGACTGTAAGTTTGAGTTTGAAGCTAGCATGGGTTATGCAGCTAGTTCAAGGCCAGCTTTATCTATAAGTAAGACCCTATCTCAAATAAGAACAATAACAAAAACAAACAAACAAAAAAACCAAAACCAAAACCAAAACCAAAGCAATCACTGGGCTGCAGAGATGGCTTAGTGGTTGAGAATGTTTGCTGATCTTGGAGAGTCTAAGAATTGAGTTTCCAGAACTCATGTTGGGCACTCACATCCACCTGTAACTCCACCTCCAGGGGATCATATGCCCTCTTCTGGCCTCCAGAGGCACCCGTATGCATGTGCACACATACACACACCTAAATAAAAATAAATCTTAAAAAAAAAATGGTTGTAACTCAGTGGAATAGTGCTTGTCTACTACGTACACAAGGCATCCCCAGCACTGAAAATATGTCATATATACAGTGATTCTCATTATTTGTGGATTCTTAGGTTCAAATTTGCTTTATCATGAAAAATTATTGATAATATCCACATAAAAATTATGGTGTTTCCTGGTTTTCATGGTCATTCACAGACATGCACAGAGCAGTGAGTTTTCATGTTGTCAGTTGAGACTGAACGATGTGACAGGACCTTATGGTTTTAGCGCTCATGTTATAAAACAGTGTCTTCTGGGGCTGGAGAGATGACTCAGTGGTTAAGAACACTGACTGTTCTTGCAGAAGACCCAGGTTTGAATCCCAGCACCCACATGGCAGCTAACAACTGTCCATAACTCCAGTTCCAGGGGATCCAACGGCTTCTTCTGTCCTCCATGGGCATTGCATGACGGGTGTACTTACCTACATGCAGGCAATACATGCATACACATAAAATAAAAATAAATAAAGACCAAAAAAATCCCATAGTGTCTTCTTCACAATATATTGACACCTTATTTTCATTTTAATGCATTTGATAATTTGACTGTTTAAAGATGCCCTCAAGTGTATTGTTCAAGTACTGTTTAGTTTTAGTAAGTGCAAGAACACAGTGATGTACCTTATGGAGAAAAATCTGTATAATATAAGCTTCATTCAGGTAGGAGTTATAGCACTATTAGCAGTAAAAGCAATGTTAATGAATCTATATATTAAATAAGGTGTCTTTAAGCAGAACACATATTAAACAAGGTTGGATATTGGCTGACAAAATTCTTATGATCAGAGTGTCTCAGGAATTTTAACCTGTATTTTCCCTAACATCAATAGTTCAATATTTGTTAATCCACTGTTTGTGATGACTTTGTAAAAGATAACTACTCATGAATCAAGAATCTACTATATATGTATATTTATATTTTCATGTACTTAAAATATTCTATTTATTTATTTATTTGGTCTTTTTGAGACAGGGTTTCCCTGTAGCCCCAGCTGGCCTGGAACTCGCTATGTAGACCAGGTTGGCCTCGGACTCACAGAGATCCATCTGCCTCTGCCTCCAGATCAAAGGCGTGTGCCACCACACTGGGCAAAATATTTTATTTATTATTTTTATTGTATGTGTATGAGTGTATATTGCCTACGTGTATGTAAGTACATTCATGTCATTAAATGCCCGTGGAGGTCAAAAGAGGGCATTGGCTCCTCTGATACTGGATTTATAGATAGTTAGCTGCCATGTAGGTGCTGGGAATCAAACCCAAATCCTCTGCAAGAGCAGCCAGTGCTTTTAACCACTGAACCACCTCTCCAGTCCCTCATGTATTTTTTTTTAAAAAACATGATCTTACTATGTAGCCCAAGTTGGTTTTGGACTTGAGATCTTCCTGTCTCAGTCTCCTGCAAACTGGGATTATAGGCATGTACTACCGTGCTCAGCTCTGCATGTATGAAAACTTGATGTATATCCTAAAGAGACCAGAGAAGCAGGCCCAGGAAAGATTTAGTGGAAACTAGTGCATTTCAAGAGGTGGGTGATAATGAGAACAGCCAAAGAATGGTTTCTGGGGTAATTGTGAAGATGTTGGGGAATTACATGAAGAGGTGAGCAAGGCTGGTGGACCAGTGGTTGCAGAGCAGAGTGAGATCTGTAAACAGTTGCTTATGTAGGATTTTTAAAGCATGTGCTAGATGTATAGTCTGGCTAAGGATTTTGGATTGTATCCTAGAGATGGAAGATTTTTAGTAGGTAGGTGGAGAGGGCAAGCTGAGCATTAACATGCATGCATTAGCTCTCTGTCCAGACTGGCTGCTTCAAGTTCCTATGACTTTGACTTATCCCACAGTGATGGAATGTAACCTGGAACTGTGAGCCAAATAATCTCTTTCTCCTTTAAATTGCTTTGGTCAGGGTATTTTATCAAATCATCAGGGAAACAAAACTAAGAGTGTTTCTGGACCAATTTAGAGGGTGATTCAGTCAGAACTGGGGTGTGGGGGGAGTGGGGGGTGAGGGTGTTGAATCTGGAACTTAGTACCTAAATCTCCAGTCTCCCACTCCAAAATGGTGGCCTTGAAATCTTTTGATATTCCTCCCCTACTAGTTTAAGCAACTTCATGAGACCTTGCACTAAAAACTCTCTGCAACACTGTTGCTAGATTCCTGATCTCCAGAAACTAATAGTAATCTGTTATACTGCAGTAACCAACTATCTGTAATGACCAAGCCACCCTCAGACCTCCCAGTATAGGCAGCCAATACTTCCCACTCTATTGTCTTCAGGAAACACCAGTTTTTATCTATTCCCTTGATAGAACATCAGATACCTCAGGAGACACCACTCATCAGACAACCATCCACCCAACCTCTGGTCCACCTGAAGCCTCTCCCATCTCACCTCTGCCCTTAGGGATTTCCTTTCAATTATGAAGCCTCCAGGGAAGTGGCATCCTGGTCTTAGATTGTCCTCCACCCACTTCCCAGCCTTCTCATCCAAATGACCAGCAATACTTCTGTTCCTGAAACCCTTCCATTCTTCTCACTCACCTGCCCCATTCATCCTACACACTACACACTCATGTGCACCACTTGTCATTTACAGCAAGTTTCCATTGTGCTTAGAGTGAAACCGAACTCTGTATTAGTCTACGAGGTACTGCAAAGATCCCGTCTCCTACTCTTAACTGTGCTCACTGAGACGCCTATCCCTACGCTGTTGTCAAGTGGTTCCAAGGGTTCTCCGCCAGAGACGTCCTCCTCACTGACTGTCCTTCCGAAGCTGTCCCCACGGTCCCCTGTGTGACATAGGTGATCTCTGCGAGGCACTCCCTTTAGAACTTTGTCCTGACCTCCAGGAAGGCCTGAAGCACAGGCCGAGCTCCGCTAACATCACCAGGAAACTCCTGCTAAGACTCTCAGTTGGCCTCTGGTAGGAGCCACTAGGGTGCCACAGCTCTAGGTGAGTCGTAGCGGAAGTGGGTCTTTTCCTTGCTCCAGGGCTCGCTCAAGCTTCTGCTCCGCTCCACCTCCGGGCTTGGTGCCGAGCCTCTGAGAGGTCCATACCCTAGCCTTAGAACTGTGCGGGGGACACCGTTCCTATGCGGGGTCGTCGTCCGAGCCTCCATGTTTGGCTCTGTGTACTTTGACGGGATCCCGCGAGCTATGCTCAGGCCGTAGTGCTCCAGGCACCCCTAATGCTTTCCGCCGCTCCCTGAGCACTGATCCCGCCACACAGCCAGGTCCTCCGCGCTTCCTGCGGAACTCTGTGTGGTAGACGTGTTTCCTGAGGAGCGAGTTCACAGTGGTACTCAGATCTTACACAAGTTCCGACAACAGCTGCGGCGCATGGCGGTGAGCTGTGGGGACAAAGTGCTTTTAGCGAGGTCTGGTTGTGGGGGCCCCTTGTGACTGTCGTCCTACCGCACTTTCTCCAGGCTCTAGGAGAGGCTTCTCGAGAGACACTGACAGCCTCAGGCCCGAGCACCCAACGCGTTCCCCGCAGACTGCAGCTCCCCGGGTCGGTCTCCGGCGTCTTGAATCCCTCTGCCTGTATCAGCTCAGTGCAACCTACATGCTTAGACGCCGCTACCACAGCACACCCGGTAGGCGATGAAGGCAGCATAGCCTCGAGGAAGAAAAAGAAAAAGAAAAAGAAAATCCCCAACAAGGCTTCTTTGGCAAATGGAGACGAAAAGACCTTCGAGAAGCCTGCCCCAGAGGAAGCCCTCCACTGTTCCGAGGCCCAGGCAAGGCAGGGTGGGATCTTTGCGAGCTTTCTGTGTGCTAGTCGGCTCGCTGGTGTGGTCTGGGTCTGCGGAATTAAGGCACTGGAGGGAAAGGGAGTGGACTGCAGGGCCTAAGTCCTCGTTTCCATCACAGGCAGAGCAGCTGGCGCGGGAGCTGACTTGGTGCGTGGAGCAGCTGGAACTGGGCCTCAAGATGCAGAAACCGACCCCGAAACAGAGTGAGGAGCCCTTCTGTGTAGTTAGGGGAATGTAAATGGGACAGTAGCCTGCTGATGTTGCTAAGGGATGGTAGGTGGTAGGAAGTGAGTGTTCACCAGTTCTTTATTTTTATCTGCAGAAGAGCAGGCTGTTGGGGCAATCCGAACCCTGCGCAGTGAAAGAACACCCTTGCCCCGGAAGAGGCAGTTGATGCGCTCCTTGTTTGGGGACTACAGGGCTCAGATGGAGGCCGAGTGGCAGGGGGCCCTGCGGGCTCTAAGGGCTGGTGAGGCGCTTGAAAGTGATTGATTCATTACATCAACTCGAAAGAGATAGGGAGAAGCCCAGAGCAGCAAGATTGGTGCGGGAGGTGATGGCTCTGGGAAGCCTAAACAGGGAGAAAGTATATACTCTTGGGGGTTTTGGGGTAGGAAAAACCAACTCACTTGTCTTGGCTTTCTCCATTACTTTGTAATTTTGAGAAGTTAATAAATTTGCAGTTAAGTTGTGTGGGCATTATAGCAACATGGGTAATTTTAACCATTACTAGGTTCTGACTTTCTGCTCCCCCTTCCCCTGACAGCTACCCATTCAGCCCAGGTAAAGCCTGTAGGTGAGGCCACCAGAAAGAAGAGTGGAAGAGTCTGCCATCTTCGTCCAAAAGGAAGAGCCAAGGCCACTCCGGACGTTACTAAGGAAGAGTTTAGGTTCAATTTCTTGTAGACTTTCTCACATTCTGGAGTAGCCCTCCTCCAGGGTGATGTGGGGATTTGTCTATGTGAAGGTTCTTTCTAAGGAATTCTCTCAGCAGAAGTGAGGTTGGTTTGTCCCTGGCTGGTCTCTATATATGAAGCTGCTGGGCAGTTGTGAGAATGTCAGATGGAACTTTATTTTTTTTGAGGAAATGTTCTGTCAGAAGAGAGATGCATTTAGAAATTCTTGTAAGCCTCATGAGTGTTGAGTGGGATGTAGAAAGAAATTTGTTCTCTAGTCTCCAGGATTTGATTAAGTAGCTATTGGTGATTGTTGTATAGCAATTTCCTCTGAGATAAAACATTCCTTGGAGGGAAGCTCATTAAATTTAGCAAGTAAACAATTCAAAAGCTTTGGCTCTTACCCTGCACATGTTGTAGAAACATAAAAATGGTAAATATGGGCCTGCAGTGGAGAATGGTGTTACTGTTATTGAAGGCATTTTCAAAAGTGTCAAGGAGCACTGATGACTGCTAAAGCCCATGGCCCTCAGCGCAGAAGCCTGTTCCGCCAGAGCCAAGCTGGCAGTGTTCTGATTGTGTATGTCTGTGCTCCAGGTACATCTGGGCCCAGGCAGCAGAGTCACCCTCTATATGCTTGGTTTTGTCGTCTTGTGAGTGTGCTTAATAAGTAAAAAATAAAGACAAATGTCTCTATCAAAAAAAAAAAAAAAAAAAAAAAAGCTTTGAGAACACTGGATGTGGAGGTTTACACTTAGTTCCAGCACTGCAGAGGCAGAGGCAGAGGTAGGCATATCTCTGTGAGATCTAGACCAACTGGGGCTACAGGGAGACCCTGTCTCAAAAAGAAAAAGTTTCAGGAACTCCCTGAAACTGACTAGATTCAGTGGGTTCCTCCCTCCCCAAGCCTTTATAAGCAGTAGGGACTGCTCAGAAACTCTCAAACCATCTGAGCTGCTTAGAAGACTTTCAGATCAGCAGAGCTGCTTGGCAGAGGCACTCCAATCTGTTGAGCTGGCTGCAAGTTGTTGTGCATTGAACTCCAGGTTTATAGCCTTTCTGAGCTGTCACTCATGCTTGGGTAGGCTTTTGGTGATGCAACTGTCATTGAGTCATCTCTGCTCCTGTAAGTAATCCTAGTAAAACTCATTGGTTCACCAGGTTGAACTTTGGTGGTACCCTTGCTTTGGTCTGTTGTCAGTTCCCAGTCTGGCGTGAGTAGATGTTTGTTCGTGTATCTGCAGGAATAGTGTCACACAACAGTGATAAGGAGTTGTGAGGAAGCTGTGTAATTATACAGTGGGCTAACTTCTGGAAGCATCCCCTGGCCATTGGTTTAGTGCTTTGTGTAGAATGCTACATCACCCTAATAAACATTTTTAAATGGATAATGAATGAAAGACTGTGCTGTCTGTGTTAGAAGAAATAAGATGAGACAGGGGTGGGCACTGTTTGGTTCAGCTCTCATACCAGTGTTTATGTTGCCTTCATTTCTGAGCAGATTATTGTCCTCAGGGAACCAGTGTGGCCTCCACTAAGCCAGGCTTTGTTGATAGGAGCTAAGGAGCTTTTTAAGCCTTAACCTGGATTGAGTCTTAACAGATTGTCTCTTTTTGTTTCTCTAAAAAAATTTTCCATTACATTTGTGTGTGGAGGTCAGAGGATAACTTGTAGGAGCTGCTTCTCTTCTACCATGTGGGTCTCAGGGATCAAACTCTGGACTTTGGGCTTGTTGGCAAGTGCCTTTACCCCCTGAACCACCTTGCTAAACCATAGACTGCCTTGTTCAATGTTGGCATCAGTACCATATCCTCTGCTGCATTGATTGAGATCTCCAGGTGATCTAGGAGACATTAGGAGTCCTCACACCAGTGCAATCTGCTGGTGTTGCCCAAACTCATGTTCCAGACTTGATAGAACCTGGAGCTGAGCTGTATTCAGCATCTCTGTGTGAGTATTTTGTGGGCAGTTCAAATTCAGCATGTTTAGAATACATAATTAGACCCCAGATCTCTCTTGTTCTTATTAGTCAATGGCATCACTGCTTCATCTAGCTGATTAGGCCATGAACCTGTGTCATTCTTGATGTCTTTTTTTTCCCCAACACTCTGTTTTCAATACTTTAGCTAATAAGTCAGCTTTATCTTCTCATTTTTTTTTCTTATTTATATTTGGAGATAGAGACTTGCTTGTATAGCTCAGGCTTGCCTTGAACTTGTGATCATCCTGCATCAGCTTCCCAGGTGCTGGTATTACAAGTGTTTACAGCCACACCCAGCTTGCATATTCTCATAATCCTGATTGATGTGTAAATTTCTAATGTTAAGTCTTCCTTACTCCTGTCTTCACTGCTGACAGAGTTACCCTTTAGGGAGTTCAGGATTTCAGGTCATATTTCTCATAGTCAATGATCTTATCACACCTGGAATGAAAGCATCATGTTTTCCCCTGACAGCTTCCCCCATGCCCCCCAATCCTGCTTCAAAGTGTTTAACCTTGTTCCTTTTGCATTGATTGCTGTTCCTCTAATCTCAGCATGACTGACTTCTGGGACAGTAAACATCCTCTTTATGTGGGAAAGTTACTACTCTGTCACTCATCAGGCCAAGGAAACAATTCAGATAAAGCCAGGAATGTTAACCAGAAATTTTCCTCTCATAGTTATGCCTATATAGAGTTCTAATAATCCATTTCTTTGAATATCTGCTTTCACATTGAGGGTCTTTATATATTAAAACCACAAGGACCATTAGAAAGGAGACATACTGATCTTACAGATGCCTTGATTTACAACTCAGGTGCAGAGATTCAGTTAAGGGATCTGAGGATGCTGGATTCTATACTTTTTTTTTTTAAGACAGGGTCTCACTGTGTAGCCTTGGCTGACCTGAATTTTGCTGTGTAGACCAGGCTGGCCTTGAATTTATAGAGATTTCCCCAGTCTCTGTCGTTCAAGTGCTTGGATTAAAGGCTTGTATCCATGCCTGGCTCTTCCCCTATACAGGGAAACAAGAACCTGGACACTTCACAGTTCGGACCTGATTTTGACACTGCCACACAGCTATGTCTTTCTGTATGCCCATCAGAACATTTAGATTTTACTTGGTTGCCCTTCCACTAAACCCTATAGTAGCCCTATCTTTGTTGAGAAGCCCATGGACCTCCTTATCACAATAAACTGATAAACTGTTGGATTCCAGATTTGTCTTTTATGGACTATGATGAGTCCTTAAACTTTGGGTTGTATTAATAATTACCCGCTTTCTTCCTCCTGCTGTATTCCTCCTGGACCATTAGACCCCTTGCCCTTAGCTCTGATTTTAGGAGTTAAAAAGGCCTGAGAAAGAGACCAGGGTAGATTTCCCTCTTTTTCCCTTTTATGGTGTCTCTGGTTAGGCTTAGGATGTGTGAGGGTTTGATATATGACTCAGGTTTGGGCCAAGGTCTGTGGTATGATTTAGGATATAGAGTAGAGAAGGGACAATAGGAAGCTTAAAGGTTGGAGGAGCTAGGAATAAGAAGGACCCTGGAGATATAGTAAAACATTGTTTGCCTTGAAAGCAAAAGTAGGATGGGGGTTTTGACTTAGGGTGAGTTGGGAGCCTCCTGAGAGTTCAGGAGAGGACAGATGTATCTGATTTTAATTGTCAGAAATTCTTCTGGGCCTCTGGAATGGAAGACTTTGTCACCACTTTGCTTCAGGCTTGGGAGGCTCTTAAGTCTCAAGTGCCTGGAGAAAACTCAGTGGTAGGGCAGACTGCAGGAAGATGCTTTTTAGGGTGGGGTGGGGAGTGAGTGATACAGACACAGACACACAGACGCACACACACGGGCACAAAGGCAGCTCTTCCTCTTTTCCCTTTTGGGGTATCTGTGGATACTGTTAGGGTTAACAAGGTTTCAGTTAGAGTTAAGTGAGGGTTTGGTTTAGGGGTTGGCCTCTAAAATTGTCTAGCTTTTTCTGAGAAGTACAGAATAGCTTTTATTCATATTAATTCAGTGACAAGAAGCTGCCTGATTAAGCTGAGGCTTGGGTATGGTGTTAAGTGATCAGAGTAAAAAGTCCTCCTCTAATGAATAATTGAAAGTTTTATTTCAAATTTTAATAAATAATTGTGAAGTAAGTTAATAGGAGCTCTGTGAAATGCTTAGAGTCTCTAGTTCCGTGTAGATATTTCTGCTCTCCAGTCTGGAGAGGCTGGATGAGCATTATGGTTTCAATTTTAAATATCTTCCAAAGGACTTTGGACTTATTCCAAAGGACTTATTGAGGACTTTGTCACTAATAGTGACACAATCCAGATAGTGGAACCTCTAGGAGGTGGGCCTCATGAAAGGAAGCTTAGTCATTGGGATGTGCTATTGGGAAATATTAGGCTCCAAACTCTTCAATGTTCCTCTGCTTCCTTGCTATGTGAAGCAAACAGACCTCCACTATGTGTTCCTTACATGATGTTCTGCGCTACCCACAGTGACAGGACAGAGTGACAATAGACTGAAATCTCTGAAGCCATGAGCCAGAATGAACCCTTAGAATGAGTTATCTCCCTCTTTTGTCAGAGTGATAATGAGCTAACACAGTGAGGGAGCAAAACTGTTCAATATTCTTGTCTAGGGTTGTTAGGGTGAGGGTGAGGGATAGGGTTAGGGTAGTTAGGGTTAGCTTTAGGGGTTAGGGTTAGGGTTGTTAGGGTTAGGGTTGTTAGGGTTAGAGTTAGGGTTAGCCATAGGTTTAAGGTTACAGTTAGGGTTAGGGTAAGAGATAGGGTCAGAGTTAGGGATAAGCATAGGTATAGGGCTAAAGTTAGAGATGGGGTTAAGAATAGGATTAGGGTTAGGATCAGGGTTAGGGTTTGGTTTTGGGTTTAGGATTATAGTTTGGGATAGGGATAGGATCAGGGTTAGGATCAGGGTTAGGGTTTGGTTTTGGGTTTAGGATTATAGTTTGGGATAGGGATAGGATTAGGGTTAGGGATAGGGTTAGTATTAGGGTTTGGGTTAGGGATAGGATTAGAGTTAGAATTAGGGATCGGGTTAGGTTTAGGGTTAGGGATAGGGTTCTGGATACATTTAGAGTTAGGGTTAGGCATTAGGGCTAGGTTAGGGATTAGGGATAGGTTAGGGTTGGGGTTAGGTTTAGGGTTATAGGGTTAGGGGTTAGGATTAGGATTTAAGGTTAGGGGTTAGGGTTTAGGGTTATTGTTAGGGTTGGGGTTAGGGTTTAGGGTTAGGGTTATGGTTTGGGATAGGGATAGGATTAGAGTTAGTGTTAGAGACAGGGTTAGAGGTAAGGTCAGGATTAGGGTTAGGTTTAGGGATAGGGTTTGGGTTAGTGTTAGGGGTAGGGCCTCCTGCCCCTGAGTGCTGAGACTATAAGTATACAGGTGCCACTACAGTAAGGACTGTAAGTTTTTTAAAAAGAACACCATAGAGGTGAAGTGCCCTTCCCATCATATCCTATGGAGGGGAAAGACCTGTGACAAGCCCACCACCAATGAATGGTGAGGCTTACCTTAACCACACTTAGGGATATACCTATTGGGTTTCTCCACCATAAAGCACCATGCAGGGGACAGAACCAGGGCTCTGTGCTTGCAATATAAGTGCCCTGCCACCAAATTACACCCCCATCCTGAAATCCATATTTTAAAAATATTTTTAAAGATTTATTTTTAATGTATGTGTGAGGGGTGCCCACAAAGGCCACAAGAGGGCATCCAATCACCC